AGATCCCAGGCACTATAAAATCTTTTGATGCTTCCTGCATCAGTAAAAAAAATGAAAGAAAAAAAAAGAAAAGAGAGAGAGAGAAAGAGAGAGAGAGAGAGAGAGAGACTTGAGCAGAACAAGTAAGTTGCATGTGAAAGTGGCCCTAATGCCAATGGCTTCCACTCCAGTCGCATTACCTTCCCTCTCCCAGTCCTATGGCTTCATGGGGAGTTCCTTATGATCATTTGACTGAGGAAGAGAAAATTTGTGCCTGGTTTACTGGTGGTTCTGGGGGATATACAGGTAGGACTGAAAGTGGACAGCTGTGGCACTGTAACCCCTTTCTGGGACCTCCTTGAAGGACAGTGGTAAAGGGAAATCCTCCCAATGGGCAGAACTTTGAGCTGTGCATCTGGTTGTTCAGTTTGCATGGAAGGAGAAATGGCCAGATGCATAACTGTATACTGATTCATGGGCTGTGGCCAACAGTTTGGCTGGACCATGATTGGAAAATTAGTGAGAAGGAGGTACGGGGAAGAGGAATGTGGATGGATCTCTCTGAATGGGCCAAAGGAGTGAAGATATTTGTATTTCATGTGAATGCTTCCCCAGACATTATCTGCTGGTAATAGAAACAAGCAACCATTGCTATAAAATACCCTTTGGTTCTCAGGGCACGTGGAAGGCAGTCAGATATGAGGACACCATCTATATTTATTTCCAAGACACATTCACATCAAGCCTTGTAGAATAACAAAAGTAATTAACACCAAGACATCTCCCTTTCAATTTTCTCTTCCTTGAAGTGTTATACCCTTTCCCACTGCTCACTGGTACACCTGGTCTGTGTCATCTGTCCTTCATCACTCACTAAACCCACCCATTCATATGCCCTCATCTCAGTGAAGAGGGTTTAATACACATAGTGGGAAAATACCCATCTTCAGGAGGCACGAAGGAAATTCCCAGCTCTGGTAGACTGGCATGGCTACACTTTACTTTCTGACTGGTAAAAGGATGTAATTATCTCAGAATCCATCAATAAAATCATTGGGTGATGCAGGGTGGAAAACTAGACTTTGTCTAGTAGAGGGAAATTCCTGGTAGAGGATATTTTAAAGGATGGTGATAAATCTAGCATGCCATTGGTCCTTTCATCCATTACATCTGATCACTTAGATTGCACTGTAACTTCTAGCTGGTACTGGTGGCACAGAAATATCCCAAGCCTATTAAGTTGCTCTGGACCCTCTATTCAGATTCCCCACTTCTTTACTTCTAATGGCTTCTCCTAACAACTAATCTCTAGATTCACAGCACTGACTACCAGCCTGCCTTGGGCTATCTGCACTTGATTTTGCATGCAATTTACCTCATGGACTCTGGCAAATGTTCTCCCAATTGTTGCTCCTAATTCCCCTCTCTAACAGAGGATGTCTTTTTTGGCCCCATTCCCTATAATCTGGTCATTCGAACCAAATCCTTCTAAAGTTTCTTTGGATATTCTACAGTTTTTTAACATGCTAAGAGGAATGATTTACTCAAGACATCACTGCATACTTTTAACCTTATTGTAAATAACAGGATGGTTTCAAAAAACCCTCTATAACTTCATAAATTATAAACTAGGAACCACCAGATTCTCTCCCGGATCAGGCTCTATTCACCAATTTTGGAAAACTTATTAAGAATGGGATAAAAACACTCTAGGAGATTGACCAAGTTTCTCACCTTCACCATGCATAGTGAACACTCACATGGAAAGGGCTGCTGCTATCATGGGGAGAGAGCTACAGCAACATCTGGAGGGCTAAGGAATTCTCAGTTTTTTTTGCGGGGGAGCAGATGATCCTGGGTTTTTCTGTATTGTCTTCTCCACTAGGAGCAGGTGCAGCCTTCGAAGAAGGTGGCAGTGGAGAACTGGTCAGTACTTCAGGATCCAGTTTGGACAGGAAGTCACACCCAGGCCCAGGGGGAAGGATACAGTGATGCATGAAGCTGTGGAGCTGGATAAAAATGTCAGCCCTAGGGAAGAGTCAGCTCTCAAGGAACCCTGGGGCTAGGGGCAATAGGATCTTCATTAAAGAAAGTCCACAGCTAATTCTCAAATTATGATTGATTCCCATTTTCACTTTCCTTCTTTAGGCTGGCATATAATACTGCAGACACAGGGCCCTTCTTTTTATCTCCTGAGAGACATTATGGAATAGTGAGAAGAGAATTAAACAAGAGAGAAAGTCAGTCTAAGGCTGGGGAGAATTAGAAATAGAGTGGGCTCTGGAGAAATTCAGACCAGGATTCTAGTTCCAGCTCTGTCACATACTAGTCTACTGACCTAAGGCACACTCTCAAGCTTTCGTAATCAGGAATTTCATCTGTGAAGTGAGTTTGATAAGCCCTGTCTTGTGGGATTATGGGGAATCGGGCAATGTATGTAATGTACCAGGCACACTCCCTGGGATATATTAGGTCTTTAATGAATAGCAGTTATTACTATAATATTGACTCCAACTCTATCACCTTGAAATATGATTTAGTTATTATTCATGATGTCTTAGGAAACAGAGTATGTTATAGGACAAACTATTAATTATCAAAAATATGCTGCTTAGTAAATAAAACTGTACATTTTGCCCTCACAAAATATATGATTTAATATGGGTGTGGGAGTGCCTTTCCCCAACTGACTGAAACTCAAAATTTCTAGCATTTCTGTCAAGGACCAACTCTTTCTCTCCCTTACAGCTGCACTTCCATCCAAATCATCCATATTTTTTTATGATATCTAGCTTTTAATTCAAATTAGACTGAAGATAACCTAATTAAATTATGCTTTAAAAAGGGTGACCTCTGGCTCTCCCAGGCAAAAACACAGAGTTCAAGCCCAGTGGCTCCTAGTTACTCATTTCAAGGCAATTTCAGCACTATTTCTCAGAAACACCTTGGAGATAATTTGCATAAAACGCTTAGTTTGTGGAAGATCTTCAGCTACACTGGGACAAGAATGCAGGGCACATTTTATTTCTTCCCCAGATGGAGGTTTCCCTTTGATTTACCCATGATCCTAAAGTGATTACTAACAACAATTTTCCACTCCAGGCTTTTGGGGCCCAACTTTGAGACACAAAAAGTGAGTGTCTGCTCCTTGCTTACCACCTCCACAAATTTATCTTCCCACAACCCAGCCTCACTTAAAATTAACTCACACTCAAAGATTAGTTTCCCAACTACCAAAAACTGCTATGCCTTGGGGCATTTATACTTGATTGTTTTCATCTGGACCTCTTAAATGAGACACAGCAGGAGGGTTAATTTTTTAAAATTTAATTTCTTGTATGTTCTTGAATAAACCAAACAGATTCAGGTATGTATCTTTCAATTTTACAAAGGAATAGACTAAAAGAGATAAGAGAAGCAAAGTACATTTTTTTTTTTTTACTTTTGCAGCAATTAAAAAGCTGAGCTCTTTCATGTTTCCAAGGAAACACCTATTCTAATGACATATTATCTTGTTCCACATCATAAAATAAGTCTCCAAAGTTATCTTACAAAATGGCAAAGTTTTTACTCTAAAATCTTATAACTATCACCTAATGTATGACAAATGTCATTCATACATTTAGACTCTGAAACTACTTAAATATTGTTAAAATTGAGCATTTAAAATATCACCCCACCACCTAGGCAAAAGGATAAACCAGCAAGTCACCTACACAGAACAACAAAACAAATATCGTATACATTATGATCCCTCCAGCCCCAGGCTAGTGCTCCACTACTTAGAACACTGACTGCCTGCTTCAAAAATAAAGTGAACAATATCCCTCAGACTTCTGTAATGGTGGGAGAAGCTTTTGGATGTGGCCTTGGAACATGCTCTCGATCTAGAAAAGGGCCAGCCATGGATGAAATTGATTCTCTCTTCCTCATCTTTCAAAGCCTCCTTGAATTGAGTTGAGAAAGTAGGAGTATCAGAGTCATTGATCTTGGCAAAAAACTCCAGGAATTTTACCTTGTTGATTTCAGCATGGGCTTTTGGACCCCACAGGACGTCGTAATGTGCAGGATCACTGTTGGGCACCTTTCGGAACTCCAGATACTCTTGCTTCACCAAATCTTCAGTGATGAACTTCCTGGAATCCCCATACATGAAGTGATTCTGGTCAGCATATATGCCCATCCTATTTAGCACTTTCCAGATCTCTTCCTCAGTGGTGCGGCTGCCCTTCATGAAGATCACACCCAGGATAATAATCAGGAGGCCAGTCTTGGGTGAATTTGTGTCATCACTCACCACCCCATCATAGGTGATACACAGCTTATTGAAGAGGAAATAGCACTGGCTGTCGGGAAATAATTCTATCACGTCAATGCCAAAGACCAGCTCCAGGCGCTCAGAAGCCATACTGAAGATCTTAGGAAAGTGATTCTCATACTGTCTAATGACCGTATTCAGCATGTGTTCCTTAGTGACCACCTCTTTCATGTGATACTTCTGCAGCAGGAATTTCACCAACAAAGCCACTTTGTCAGCTATAGGATCTCTGGGCAACTCATCAGCATCTGGCATGGGCTCCAAAGTGCTTGAACTTGCCTCCTCTTTTTGGATGCTGAAGAACTCATCTGATTTGCTCAGTGAAGTAGCTGTGATGGCAGTGGAAGGGACGGTGACCTTCTCAGGATCTTGGGAACTACTGATTACTTCAGCAGCTGAAACCTCTTCTGAAGCCTCAAGAAACTCTGCTTCCTCCCCGTCTTCGATCTCACTAGAGGATTCAAGGCTTTCATCATGTATGTAGTATACTATTTCCTGGCCCTGAGACATTATCACTCTTGTAGTTGACCAAGAGAAACGTTGTCAGAAGGGCAAACAATGGGGTGTCACACCTAAGGAATGAAGAGAGGGCGGGGACAATCTCAGTTTGTAAATTCCATCACAGAGGCTAGCAGTGGCTGCCTCCATGTGTCTTTTTCTCAAGAAAATGCTCTAAGGCCTCACAGGTCTCTAAAGATTCTGGTCAGCCGGTAACATAAGAACTTGAAGGAGGACGTGAGAAGGCTCTTCATGGTATGGCTGCAAGCCCACCCCAAAGCTTTCCAGGGCTGAGAGCAGGCAAATGGGCTTGGAATCCATGGGATACGCTCACCTTGACTCCTGGCAGGGCTTGGGCCTCCTCCCTCTCCTTATCTATGACTGACTTACTCAGACAAAGACCTCCCTTCCCTAAGACACCTGAAGAGGAAGGGAAAGAGACTTAGGCTAACA